TGGTTTGCCTCCCTCCCTCTCTGTAGCTTTTTTCCCCTTCCCCTCCCCCATGGTCTTCCGTTAAGTTTCTCGAGATCCACATATGAATACAAACATATGGTAACTGTCTTTCTCTGCCTGACTTATTTCACTTGGCATAATACCCTCGAGTTCCATCCACATTGCTGCAAATGGCAGAATTTCATTCTTTCTCGCTGCCAAGTAGTATTCCATCGTATATATAAACCACATCTTCTTGATCCATTCATCAGTTGATGGACATTTGGACTCTTCCCATAATTTGGCTATTGTTGAGAGTGCTGCTGTGAACATTGGGGTACATGTGCCCCTATGCATCAGCACTCCTGTATCCTTTGGGTAAATTCCTAGCAGTGCTATTGCTGGGTCATAGGGGAGTTCTAGTGTTAATTTTTTGAGGAAGCAGTTAAGATTTAAATTACTTTTTCCTCTCAAAAAATTGGTGATCAATATATCCATTAGAAAAAAAATCACTTCCAAAAATTTTTTATTCTTTCTACCATTCAAAGCAGCAAGTAGGATTACAAGATCAAATGGGAAGTAGATGGTTAACTTTATAAGAAACTGCCAAATGTTTTACAGAGTGACTGCGCCATTTTGCATTCTTAGCAGCAACACAAGACAATTCCAGTTGTTCTGTCCGTATCCCTACCAACACTTTGTGTTGTCAGTACTTTTAATTCTACCCTTTGTAATATGTGTGCAGCAGTATCTCCCATGGCTTTGATTTGGATTTTCCTAATGGCTAATGATGTTGAGTATCTTTTCACATGCTTATCAGCCCTCCACCCATCCTGTTTCCTGAGTGTCAATTCTGTATTTTGTACATTATTTTTAACTTCATCATTTTTTTAAACCATTGAATCTGGAGAACACTTTACATATTCTGGTTTCAAGTCCTTTGTCAGATGTGTGGCTTGCCAGTGTTTTCTCCAGCCTGTAGCATGACTTTTCATTCTCTGAATGGTGTCTTTTGCAAAACAAAAGTCCTAAATTTTGATCAAGTCCAATTTATCGACTTCTTCTTTTATGGGCTGTTCTTTGGGTGTCGGGTCTAAGAACTATGTTTTCTTCTAAAAATTTTATAGGTTCACATTACAGATAAAGATCCAGAATCCATTTTGAGTTGATTTTTGAGATAATCCACTTTGAGTTATAAGGTGTGATTTGGGGTTGAGGTTCATTTTGGGGGGTATGGAGAAGCTGTTGCCCCAATAACATTTTGTTGAAAAGATGGCCTTTTCTCCATTGAATGGTCTTTGCACCTTTCTCAAAAATTAGCTGATCATATTTGGGTGGGCCTATTTCTGGATGCAGTAGTGTTTTATTGATGTATGTGTCTCTCTCTCCTCTAACACCACACTTCCTTGATTACTATTACTGTATAGAAATCTTAAAATTAAGTGATATCCCTCCTCAAACATTATTCTTCTTTTCCACAATTGTTTGGCTTTTTTGGTTCCTTTGCATTTCTGTATAGCTTTAGAAACTGTTTGCATATATATATAAACAAAACCCTGCTGGGACTCTGACTGGAAGTTCATTAAAAGCAACTTGGGGAGAATTGACATCTTTACCATGTTGATCCTTCCCATCCATGAATATGGTACATCTCCCTGCTCAGTCAAGTCTTCTTTGCTTTCTCCACCAGCCTTTCCTGGTGTTTACCATAGAGAGCCTATACTTGTTTTCCTAGATTTGTACTTAATGTTTTGTTTCTTTGATGCTATTACACATGGTAGTGTTTTCAAATTTTCCTCTTTACGTTAACTGTTCTTTGCTTTAGTATATAGAAATATGATTGGCTAAGAGTCATTTTAGTATCAGGCCATTAAAAATATAACAATATAGTTGTAACTGTGTGACTACTTTAGATTACTTGTGCAGCTAACAATTTACAGCCAAGGGTCCAAGTCAAGTCTGCACTCAGCCAGTCTTCACTGGACATCTAACCAAAGAAGTGTGTGATTCCCAGGCCATCCTTCTATTTACTTAAGATCAATTCTTTGTGTGAGGCTTTGTATTAAAAGTGATCTAAGTAGTCTGCATGTTAATCCAACACACAGTTAATGCATATTGCATGCTTAGGTCTGTGCTGAGGGTTGTAAATATACCAACTACCTTTTCCATGAACGGCTCCAACCCCTGATTTTGTAGCTCCAAGAGCTAAAATGTAATAAACCAACTTCATGTGTTCCTTTAAATTACTTTTCCCTCAAAAGATTGGTGACCAATATATTCATTGTAAAAATCATAAAACACATAATTTTTCTTTTAGCATTCAAAGGAGATGTGCATAATTCACAGGAGAAACATTATAATCTACGTAATACTTCCTTAGCCATCTCCCAATATGACTAAGTTTTAATAATATGAGGTCTGCATAATATGACTTAACATTCACTTCTGTAAAAACTTCTACATAAAGTTTAAGACATTTCCCTGGTTTAATCACTGGGTAGGTGAGTTCAAAGGTGCATGATGCTTCTGTGAGTCAATATCCAGTGAGCAGCATGTAGACAAATGGTATAGAAACGCCAAGGAGAGAGCAGGTGTACTGAATTTCGGGCTGATTTAATTATTTCAGACCATGAGGAAGGTATCTCATAAACAACCACGGGCAGACATATTGTAAGGAAGACATTTTCTTAAAGTTTCCTGGCTCATCTGGTGCTTTTTAATTGCTATTTTTACACTCCCCTTTTCACCGGAGGATGATACATGGGTTGACGCGCTGACCGAATGTGATTGGCGGATGAGGTCAGACGGTTGAAACCTGGGTGGAGGACGAGGAGAGGAGCAGCAGCAGGTGTTTGCTGTGTCAGCACAGGGCAGGAGGGGGCGAGGCTCGGAGGGTCCACTCGCTGGAGCGCCCCCCGGGCTCTCTCCCTGCTGCTCTCGGCTTGAGGCTGAGGGCCTGTGGTCCCTGCGCCTGCCTCCCTGACCTGCCCCCCCCCCCCCCGTGCTCCCGCATGGGTGTGCGCAGGTGAGTCCTGGGAGCCGGGTCAGCCTCTGGCACCGCACCCTGGGGAGACCGTGAATGAGCAGCGTGGGCGGCAGAGGCCCCTGGGAGTGCCACGGGGGCGGGAGCCTGCTCCACACAGGAGCCCCCGGAGAGTGATGGGGGCGGGGCTAGGGAAGGGCGCGCAGGAGGCAGGAAGCCCTGGGACCACCCAGGAAGCACAGCCCATCCCAAGGAGAGGCGTGGCCTCGGCGCTGGGGGCGTGGCCAGCTGCAGGAGGGGCCAGGGCCCCCGCCACGTGCCTTGTGGGGGCCAGGGGCATTCGTGCAGGACTGGGGCACAAGCCCTCACCTGTGCCCCCTCGGTGTGGGACACAGCCGGGGGGGGAGGGGGGGCATAAAGTCAGGGGGCCTGGACCCTGCCTCCCACCGGGACTGGACAGGACTTGGGGTTTGAGGGGTGAGCGCGGCACGGAAATCCCAGGGAGGCAGGAACCGACGTGACTGGAACAGCCAGGTTCACGGCCAGGGTCACAGGCAGGGTCACAGGCGTGTCTGGCTGCCGAGGGACGACTCGGGAGGAGCTCGCCCTTGTTGTAATGCCCAGAGTGGGGGAGGGGAAGGGATGCAAGGGATGTGAGAGGACACTTCCAGGACGCGTTCATCGAGGCCAGCGTGACTGCGGGGTTTCAGAGTGGGTGGCCTGAGGAGGGCAGGGGCATCTGGGCACGGCCACAGGCGTCCCCAGCCAGGCGCGAGGCGGTGCCCCGTCACTGCAGCCACACGGGCCGGGGGCAGCTGTCACCGCCCGCAGGGGCCCAGTCAAAGGCATTAAACTGTGCACGTCCTTGTGGACAGTGTCTCCTAAGGTGTCAGCTCGCACACATGCACAGAGCTGACCAGGGTGGCCCCCAGGGACGCCAGCACATTGAACTGATTCGCTTTAACGGAAATCCCTGTCGCGGTGCGATGCTGGGCGGCCCTAGAGGAGCCCCTGGGACCTTCTCCGCCCCGCGCTTGGCCCCGCGCGAGCGGGAGGAGAGCCGAGTCGCCCTGAGCTCTCAGGGGCCCTGCCTCGCCTCCCTGGGCTGTCGTGCTTGTAAGGCTCCTTCTCACCCGGATGCTGGTGGATGTGCCTGTGTCTCCTGCTGGTGGGCATGCGGGGGGCCCTGGAGGCTGCTGCTCAGTGGACCCCACTCTCCCCCCCTACCCTGTGGGTGTCCCTATCTGGTGTCACCCCTGCAGCACTTGCTGAGCAGGGAAGCACTGGGCACGGCTCCCCACGGCCCTTCCCTCTGCTCAGACGTGGACACGGTCGTCCCAAACTGGGCAGGGGCTGGTGCCCGGTGACCTGACACACTGATGTTGAGAAACAGATGCTCTTTCACGCGGTGCAACCACCCCGGGGCCATGACGGGTTGTCATCTGCTGTGAGGGTTGTTTTATCCAAGGTTCCAGAGCGTTTTCCTTTGTCCACACCAGAAGCCGGGCAATAAACGCTTTCCCTCCCTGCCGGCGGCCTCACCCTCAGGCTCCGTCCCCTGCCCTGTGCGGTGTGCATGTGGCCTCTGGGAGCCAGACACGGGCTCTGTGATGGAGACGCTCCCAGCACATTGCAGCTTGACACTGGGGGCTCCTGGTCCCCTGCCTGCCCCAGGGGCGTGTCCTGTGATGTCGGCCACTTCCCAGCGTGAGGTCCTGATCTAAACAGAATCCTTGGGTGCTGGGGGGCTCAGTCGGTTGAGCGTCAGACTTCGGCTCAGGTCTAGATCTCATGGCTTGTGGGTTTGAGCCCCACTTTGGGCTCTATGCTGACAGCTCAGAGCCTGGAACCTGCTTCAGATTCTGTCTCCCTTTCTGCCTCTCTTTGTCTCTGTCTCTGTCTCTCTCTTAAAAATAAAGTAAAAAAAAAACATTAAAAAAATTTTGAACAGAATCTAGATCCCCGGAGGAGAGGCAGCTTTGCCAGGGGGCTAGAACAGAGGTGGGAGCTGGCCTGAGGTCACTGCACTCTCTTTCAGGACGGACATCACGCGGCGAGGACTGCCCACTATGGCTCCCTGCCCCAGAAGTCACAGCACGGCCGGCCCCAAGACGAAAACCCCGTAGTGCACTTCTTCAAGAACATTGTAAGTGCCTCCTTCACACCGTGAGCCACAGTGGGCAGCGGGTGCCTGGCCACTGGGGATCTGAGTATATCCCCAGATGACCTTGAGCTCTAATCCACCTAATCCATGGGGGACATGAGTATATCCCCAGATGACCCTGAGCTCTGATCTATGGGGGACATGAATATATCCCCAAATGACACTGATCTCTAATCTATGGGAGGCCTGAATACGTCCCCAAAGGACACTGATCTCTAGTCTATGGGAGGTATGAGTATATCCCCAATGATCCTGAGCTCTAATCCACCTAATCCATGGGGGATCTGAGTATATCTCCAGATGACACTGAGCTCTAATCCATGAGGGATCTGAGTATATCCCCAGATGATGCTGAGTTCTAATCCACAGGGGAGCTGTGTATATCCCCAGATGATGCTGAGCTCTAATCCATGGGGGGAGGGGTCTGATTATATCCCCAGAGGATCCTGAGCTCTAATCCATGGGGGGTATGAGTATATCCCCAGAGGACCCTAAGCTCTAATCCACAGGGGAGCTGAGTATATCCCCCGATGACCTTGAGCTCTAATCCACCTAATCATGGGAGACATGAGTATATCCCCAGATGACTCTGAGCTCTGATCTATGGGGGACATGAGTATATCCTCAGATGACACCGGTCTCTAATCTATGGGTGATGTGAGTATATCCCCAGATGACCCTGAGCTCTAATCTAGGGGGGATATGAGTATATCTGCAAAGGACACTGATCTCTAATCTATGGGGGGTATGAGTATATCCCCAGATGACCCTGAGCTCTAATCTAGGGGGGACATGAGTATATCTGCAAAGGACACTGATCTCTAATCTATGGGGGACATGAGTATATCCCCCAAATGACACTGATTTCTAATCTATGGGAGGTATGAGTATATCCCCAATGATCCTGAGCTCTAATCCACCTAATCCATGGGGGGTCTGAGTATATCCCCAGATGATGCTGAGCTCTAATCCACAGGGGAGCTGAGTATATCCCCAGATGACTCTGAGCTCTAATCCACAGGGGAGTTGAGTATATCCCCAGATGATACTGAGCTCTAATCCATGGGAGGGGGGGGGCTGATTATATCCCCAGAGGACCCTGAGCTCTAATCCATGGGAGTTATGAGTATATCCCCAGAGGACACTGAGCTCTGATCCACCAGGGATATGAGTGTATCCCCGGTGATGCCTTCTTCCTCCTCAGGGTTAGGTCGGCCATGAGAGTTCAGCCTTGGCGCCTGGTCACAAGGTGCAAGCTGTTTCTGCCACTCCCTGAATCTTGTGTTCTAGCACGGAGCCCACTCCTCTTGGGGCCACAGTACTATGAGATGCTTGGTCCGAAAACAGGCTTTGCCCGACTATGGAGACAAAAAGACTAAAGGGATAAAAAGATGAGTGGCTGTCAGAGTCAGGGGCAGGAGAGATGGACAGGCGGTCATAAATAGGAGCAGTGTGGACAGGAGACAGTTTGCAGGCTCTGTCATTTCTGTGTGTTGTTTCTAGCCACCTGATACTGCTCAAAAATGTTTTAAGAGTTTATCATTTTTAAAAAATTTTTAATGTTTATATTTGAGAGAGAAAGAGAGAGCGAGCGCGCGCGGATGGGGGAGGGGCAGCGAGAGAGGAAGACACAGAATCCAAAGCAGGCTCCAGGCTCTGAGCTGTCAACACGGAGCCAGCACGGGGCTCGAACCCATGAACTGTGAGATCATGACCTGAGCTGAAGGCAGACATATAACTGACTGAGCCACTCAGTCACCCCAAGATTGTGTTATTTTTTTTACTTTTTTAATGTTTTATTTATTTCTGAGAGACAGTGTGAGCAAGGGAAGGTCAAAGAGAGAAGAAGATACAGAATCGGAAACAGGCTTCAGGCTCTGAGCTGTCAGCACAGAGCCCGACGTGGGGCTCGAACCCACGAACTATGAGATCATGACCTGAGCTGAAGTCGGACGCTTAACTGACTGAGCCACCCAGGTGCCCCAAGATTGTGTTATTTTTTTTTTAATATTTTTATTTATTTCTAGGAGAGAGAGAGAGAGACAGCATGAGCAGGGGAGGGTCAGAGAGAGAGGGAGTCACAGACTGAAACAGGCTCCAGGCTCTGAGCTGGCAGTCAGCACAGAGCCCGACGCGGGGCTCGAACCCACAAACCGTGAGATCATGACCTAAGTGAAAGTCAGACACTTAACCGACTAAGCCACCCAAGCGCCCCAAGATTGTGTTATTTTTAAATAACCTCCACACCCAACACGGGGCTCGACCGCACAGACATCCTTGTTGAGTGTCCGGCCGACTGAGCCAGGCAGGCGCCCCTAACAAACAGAGACTTGAAAATAAAAGCAAAACAACAAACGTCTCACCATGACCGTGACCTTTGTGCAGCAGGCACTCTAAGATGGTATTTTTTAGGAGGCACAGACCTGCGAGCGCACCTCCTGAAGCCCTGAATCGCGGGGGACGCTTGACCCCCCACCTGGAGAAGGACCATGAGGCAGCCAGGCTCCCGTGTCCACTGCTGCAGGGGTGTGCCTGAGCGCGCAGCGGGAGGGTGGCTCCTGCCTGCGGGGCGTTCAGGCTCCTGCTCTCTGACATTGAACTAGGCCAGGAAGGGGGACCGGGCAGACAGCGGGTGACCTCTTAGACCCCAGGACCCCCGCGGATGGGAGCCCCTCGGGAGCAGGGAGGTGAGGACGGGGAGGGAGAGGCCGGTGCCCGCTCACCCGTCTGTGTGTGTTTGTAGGTGACGCCGCGCACACCTCCTCCATCCCAAGGAAAGGTAAGACCTCCACGTGTTGTCATTAATCGTCACTGTCTATAGGCCTCCCCGGAAACCCCTAAACGAACCCGAAAGAGAGCTGGACTCACAGCTTCATTCCGGAAGGTCTACCACGCGGTCCCGGCTGGAACAGGCCGAGGGGCTGCTGGTTACAGGCTGCTGCTGGCCCCCCACGCACTCCCCTCCCCACCCTGTTCCCAGACCCTCCCCAGCCCCCCACCGGAAGTGGCACATGTCCTTACACCTGTTCACGATCCTGATTGTGCTTCTCGTTTATCAAAAGACTTTATTTTTTCCTGCCTTGATCACAATGTCACTGTTTCTCTCTCTTCCTCACACAGGGGCGAGGACTGTCCCTCAGCAGATTTAGCTGGGTAGGTGACACCTGCGTGTCCCCGCGTCTCCCTGTCCTTTCTGCTCCTCACAGCCACCGGCTCCTGTGACCTGACTGTTCCTTGGCCCGACGGTCCCCTTTCTTCCCTGTCAGGCCCTCCGGCCCAGCCATCAGGGGGCCACCTGCTTCTCCCAGGGGAACCCGGCACTGGGTCTGAGCCGCACCCCGGTGGAGCAGCTCCGAGCTGGAGGGGACCCCCACTTCCTTCCGGCACAAGGGCCCGCGCAGCGCTGGCCGAGGGAGGCCCCGCGGCCAGCCCTTCGGTTACACACTCACAACCACCCCACTGACCACGAGATTTGGGGTTTGACTCTGGCGTGGGAACAGCCGCAGCTTAGATACCAAGCCATCCAGGGAAAGTCCGCTGGGGAGACGCCGGGGGGCGTGGCGTCTGCGCCTTAGCCTACGGGCGTCTTCCACCCACACCCGCAGGCTCCCGCAGCAGTCACGGCGAGGCAGAGCCCTTAGGTGACGAAAGTCGTGATCTTCGGAATAGGACGGAAGAAGAGCCACTAACCAGGCCAGAAATCCTGCCCATCGGGGAAGCACATCCTGATTCCCTAGTACAGAGCCCGCCTCCACTGGCTGCATAATTAAGAAGCATCATAGAAACAAATGAATACGTTTTAAAAGAAAGACGAGAAAGGAAGGAGGAAAGAACGACAGTGCGGGGAGGGAGCGAGGCGGCGGGCGAGGCCCGCAGAGGGGGTTCCAGGCGGCCCCTGCGTTGGCCCAATGCATTCTCACGCTGAACGACACGCAGATGTTGGCTGGAACGTTTTACAGGACAGAGTTGAGCCTTTCCCTAAGCTACCCAGTTGCCAAAAGGCGACTTAGGTTAGGACCCTCCACGGGCTGGCCCTCGCGGCCAACTAACGAGTGACTTTCTGTGCCAGCAGGAGGCAGAGACGCCGCTGAAGTGAACTCTGGTTCCCATAACCCCTCGGGCGGCCTCCCCACTTTCTAGGGTGGCCTCCTGGGCGCTGTGAGACATCGGGGAGCGTGCGGGCCGGGCAAGAGGGCCTCCTCCCTGGGGTGCGCCCAGCCCCCGGGCCCAGCAGCCGGCCACAGGGCCCTTGGCTTCCCCCTAACGTTTATTCAGTTTCCCTTTTTTCCAAAGCGAGTCCTGCTCCGCATTTCCGTCGCCCGTTTGTCTGCTTTCTCGCTGCAGGAGCGTCTTCCCGTTTGGAGTTTCTGAACGTCCCCCGCTCTTCTTCTAAACAATGTTGACTGTTTCTTGGCAAATTCTAGGTTGTCCAAAGATGTGAGTGACCAAGAATTTGAAAGGAGGAAAAGCCAAGCAGATTGTTAGTCTGAAAACCTTTGCTTGAATTCTGTTCTCAGAAGGTTACAGAGCGGCAGAGAGGCGGTCGGGACGGGAGGGTTTCGCGCGGGGGTGCGAGGCCTGGGTTTCCGCCGCATCACGTGTCCGCGTCATGTGCCCGCCTCACGTGGCCGCCTCACGTGCCCGCGCCGGGCCTGCGCGTGCGCGGAAGCGTCTGGGCCCCGGGCCGCCCTCCCTGCGGCCGGCGGCAGGGCCCCTGAGGCAAGGCCTGGAGCGCTTGGCTTCCCGCCCCTTCCCGCCCGCGCCCTTCGGGAAGGTGAGAGGTCTGTAGGGAGGCGCGGGGGCGCCGTTACAAGGCGGTGTTGCTCTGTTGACTAGACGCTTAGGGGCAGAGCGCGGAGCGTCCCGCGTCCTGTCGGCACAGCCGGTGGCATCTCGGAGCCTGACCGCTGAGGACGGATCCGGGGGCAGACGGCGGCCTTACGCCGAGACCCGACGGCCGGCCTGGCCCCCGTGGGGCGCCGCCCCGCAGTGTGTGCACAGCCCAGCCCCTCGGTCACAGGGGCACGGCGTGCGTACGCGTCAGCGACCGTCTGCCGTTGTCGCGTGCCACACGCCCGGGGGTGCGGGTGAGGGCGCTGGTGGCAGGGGTTGGCCTCTCCGGTAATGACAGCAAGCACGCGGCCCTCGGGCTCTGTTCCCAGAGCAGAGCCTACTAAGCAGCCCGTGAGGAGGGGCCGTTTGATCCCCATTTCATAGAAGAGGAGACAGAGGCCCAGAGAGGGTTGACGCTTGCCCGAGGTCGCACAGCCAGGGAGCGGAGAGCTGAGGCCGGCCAGGCTGCGTCCTGGTGCCCGGCTTGCTGGCCGGCCCAGATCGCAGGGCCCCCGGGCGGACTGTGGTGCTGGGGCCACACATCGGTGCTGGGGCACCAAGCCGTGGCCGGGGAGGTGCTTCCGAAGGATGCGAATCTGCCTTTGCGCTTTAGAAAAGTCTGAGCCGCAGAATTTTGCCGAGTGCTAAGCGCAGAGCTCTGTACCCTCCGGGCCCCTAGCAGGAGGCGCAGGTGTGAGGGGTCTGCACGAAGAAGCAGGCAGGGACCCCCCCCCCCGCACCCGGGATCGGCGCCGGGCCTCCCTCGCCTCCCCCCCGGAGAAGTGAGCGCCCCCGGACCGCCTCCTGCAGGTGCGGGGACACAGCCGCTCTCCTGAAAGCCGCCCGGGGTGAGGAAGGGACGGCTGCCGGAGGAAGGGGTCTGGTCTGGCAGTGAGAGCGCTTGGGTGAGCGCCTCCTGACACCCCGGGGCGGGGGCGGGGCGGGGGCTGCCTCGAGGAGGGGGTGTCTGGTGCTGCCCCCCCCCCCCCCCCCCGCCCCGCCCTGAGAGCTGCCCGGTCTGTTGCAGGGAGCCGAGGGGCAGAAGCCGGGATTCGGCTACGGAGGCAGAGCTGCAGCCCACAAGGGATTCAAGGGGGCACACGACGCCCAGGGCACGCTCTCCAGAATCTTCAAACTGGTAACGTAGCCCTTCTTGATGTCAGGGGTGCACGGAGTGGGGGGCGGGGGCGGCCTGCAGCCCCCCCCGTGGGGTGAGCTCGCCAGGCTGCCCGGTGCGGCAGGCCTTCTCCAGGCTTCTGTGGGCAAGGCCTGAGCTGGGCTGTGTCCCCCCCGGGGGCCCGAGGACACGCAGAGGGGACCACATGCCCAGGGGAAGGAGTAGAAGCCGGGTGGCCAGAGGGGAGGTCGCTGGATCAGGCGGGGACCTGCAGAGGCCACACGGGGGTCACCCCACTGGCTGATCTGGACACTGCAGTCACTGGGGCCACTGTCTGCTAGCTCGTGCGCTCAGCAAGGCCCACACACCAGGGCGGGACTTGAGAAGACAGAGTAAGGACAGCGGGCGGTCAGAGAGCCCCGCGGCCGACCGTTCTGGGCCCTGACCCAGAGCCCACCTGCCTCCGGGTGTCAGGAGGGGCCTGTCTGGCCTCCGTCATTCCCGGCCCTGTCGTGGCCTCCAGGGCTTATGGTCACGTCCCAGGCTCACTGTCAGTCCCGGAAGGCAGGAAGAGCACCGTGGGAACAGGCTGAAACGGCCTGGGGGCTGGACGACCGAGGGCCTGTGGCACGCAACCCTCCTGACGGCAGCCGCTGTCTCTGCGGGTGGGCAACCAGTCTGTGTCCCCAGGAGCTGCTCCCAGCAGGCCATGAGCCCAGCCCGGATGCGCCCCGAGTCAGGGGCCCAAGGCTGCCCAGGCGTCCATCCATCCGTCCGAGATGGTGCAATGCTCCTTGGACTGGGGGCTCACTGGGCATCGCCATGTGCCGTTGGGGCTGTCAGAGCTGTCCCCACACACAGGACCCATGGCCTCACAGAGGAGCGTGTTGCGTGATGGGGACGGAGAAAGTGTGCTACAGGGAAGAGGCAAGGCAGGGCCTATGGGGGGCTGTGCATGGCTCCAGGGAGGGAGCCCCACGAGGCTGAGGAGCTGGACTCACCCGGGGGACTCCCCCCACAGAGGGCCCTCTGAGCTCGCAAGGGCTTTGTCACCCGGGTAACATAACACCTACAACTTAGGTGTCCACATTGCCAGGCCAGCCGTGCGTGTCTGGCAGAGACCCCAGAAACGGGGCTGGGGTGTCCGCAGCCACCCGTACAAGGCCTGGGCAGCAGAGCCAGCACTTGAGGGCCTGGAGCTGGGAGGGGAGAGGGACGGCCCCAGCGGGGACACATCGCTCCTTCCAGCGGCGCAGGACAGTCCCCAGGCTGGCTGAAGGCTCCAGGGAGCACCATTCCCTGCGTCCACGTGCTCACATACTCTCCTTAGGGGGACGACGGGAGCTGCCGCTTCCTCTTACTCCAAACCCACACAAGGCCATCCCCTTGCTTGGTGTCTGGGGAGCCAGTTCTGAAGAACAACCGGCCGCAAGTACTCACAGGCGGCCCCGTCAACCCCTTTTCCACCTGGAAGAAATGGGATCAGGAAGACAGCTGCCCGCACATGAAAGCCGGGGCTCCTGTGCCACAGCAGGAAAGGCACCAGAAAAGGCCTATAACCCCACGACGCCCACAGCTCCCTGTCGAGAGAACGACAAATGGTGAAAGGTTTCATTTTTATCTTTCTTGGGTGAGAGACCAGCTTTGCTGCAGAAAATGGAAGACGCGGTTCCGGAAATCCGAGGTGGGGGGCGGGTAGTCAGGGACTGGTTCCCGGTCACCAGCCCCGGAGCACCTGCTCTGTCCCCACTCGTCCTTGGTGTCCGGGCGTCACAGACAAAGGCGTCCTGGGCTCTTATCCCACGTGACAGCGTCTTCCCCTTGGGTCTTGGAGCCCGCGGTCACCTTCCAGGGGAGGCCTGCATTTCCATGGAAACTGCACGTTTCAGGGGTTCTTGTCGCCAGTGAGAACAGGAGCGTCTGCTTCTCTCCACCTGTCCCCAGACCATCCGCTGGGGTCACAGGAGACCGCACAATTTAACGCTAAAAGGCTCTGCCATACATGGCTTGTTGGCACGGCCCTGAGAAACTGGGCGGCTGAAAGGTGGGACTGCGCCTCCTGTGAGCTCCGGGTTAGCGCTGGTTCGGGCTCCGTCTCCGCCAGCCAAGCACGAGGCCCCTTAACCCAAATCACCATCGATATGTGGCCCCTGACCTGTGAGTGTGCCGACCAGGCTAGTACCACACCGAGGTTTTAGGATGCGTGGTGGGATAATTTGTTCTGTCCCTCAAGTAGCTGTGGGGGGGTCACGCGAGTGGTGTGTCCAGTGGCCGGGACGCGGGGTGGGAGCAGCCCCGTGAGCATGTGCATGTGGAATCCCCTCCCCCGGCGGGTCTAGATTCGGCAGGTGCTGGACCCACACAGAGGTGAGGGGAAGGGGGCTGTGGTTGAGGAAGGTCAGTCCTATCCCGGAAGAGGCTTCAATCTGTGAAGTGAGTGGCCACCAGCTGACTTGCTAACTCATCTGAGTAAAGTGCAGGCAGCGTCTTCTCTGCAGGGTCAATGCTAAAGCAGGTCTGAGGGAGAAGACAAACTCTATCCTGCATGGTCAAGTAGCTGAGGTCCTCATGATGCCCTTGCTCAATTCTGAAGTGCAGTGACAAGATGGTGAGGCCGGGAACCCCATGGAGGCTCCGGTACAAACCTAGGGCACATCTGGGATAGCAGCGCTTCCTAGTGAGCCGGAACCTGACCAGGCACGCACTCGCCTGCGTCTAGATTGCCTGAGATATCCAGGCCGTCCCTGCCCCCCCCCCAAAGGGTCCTGCCCCAGAGCGTCCCTCGTCAGAGCCCAGATGTGCACAGTTGTAAGGCTTCGGCTTCCCCTCGTTGGGATGTATTTCCTGTGTTCCCCTGCATGGCGGCTGTTAATCCCACTGATGGAACGGCCAGATGACAGGGAAGGCCAGGCCCACCTGGGGACTGTCTAGGGACTGTGCTTGTGTTCCTTGGTCACCATGCAAACCTGGTCACTAGCCCCGCGAGACGCCCCGTTTCTGTCCTGCACATTTATGGTTTGCGACTAACACAAGCGTGTGAGGCCCACTTGGGCTTTATAGGCTCAACACTTTCCTGAAATTCTTTTCGTACAAAGTGGTTTAGAAATTTCTATAGAGACCAAGGGAAACATCAACTTTCAATTCATATGGTTTTAATCAGACTTTATGCCACGAAATATTCGCTACCCGGCTGACCATGGTCATATGTGGCCAGATGAGCCGACACTGCGGTTACAGTAGGTTAAAAACAGTCCAGAATCAAGAAGGGGCTGAGGAGGTGGGTGGGGATGGCGGAGACTGCACGGTGCTTAACGTGGTGCTGTGTCCTTCCTGGTTGGTTGGAAACTGGGTGGAGGGCACTGCCTTTCTCCCGATCTTTAGGAAACTGCATCGAAATAGAATTGGACTTTCCTGTTTCCAAATATGTAGCTGAAACAGTTTCCTGCACTGGGGGCAAGCAGGAGAGAATGTAGGACCTTTTCCTATTCCTTCCCAGCCCACAACTCAGCTTCGGACCTGCCTCCTCCTGGGGAGGCCAGCCTCCTCCTAGTGAGGCCAGCTTCCTCCACCCAGCTGAGCCCAGGGCTGACCAAGCACTCAACACCAGGCATTTTCAAATGTGCTAGCAACTCAACAGAGAAGAAAGTAAGTGTGAAACCCACACGGCAGAGGTGATGGCTGTAAACCTGATTCCGCCTTTGGCTCACTGACTTTGGAGAAGTAACTCAGCTTCTCTGTGCTTTGCCTCCTCCAACTGTAAAACAGGGAAGCCAAGAATTCCTCCCCCCACCCCCACCCCGGGTTTGGCTTTCTCTTTCCTAAGAGGAGACAGATATGATGGATTTTGGTCACAGTGGACACCCCATAAGTTGTAGGTACAATAATAGAAGATAAAACCAAATGTCCGTCATTGTCTCCATCTCAAAAGGAGCCACCAGGGAGTGAAGATGGGGCCTCACGTAAGGTGTCCTGCGGAGGGTGTGGGGAACTCGGGCCATCCGGGCACAGACGTCCTTTGCGGTGGTTCTGCCGCTCTCCAGGACTGAGCCACACTCTCCAGAGATGCCCGCCCGTGAACCTCCTGGGAGTTTAGAAAGCAGTGAGGCCCGTGCACACTTGTTCTGGCCCCTCTGGGGGGCAGCGCTGAGGGCCGGCTTGTCAAAGGCAAGCCAGCCAGACAGGCCTGGTGCTTCCGAGTGGGGAGCTGGCCCCAGGACCGAGCTCAGGCATATGAGAAGGGCCCTTTCCAGTGACTCCTTCAGATACTTGGAGACCTGAACTCAGTAAGCGTTTTCACCTCTGAAAATACAACCCCAGGGTTGAGTTAAAAACGTAAAACCCTGGGGCACCTGGGTGGCTTAGTCGGTTAAGTGTCCGACTTTCACTTAGGTCATGATCTCGCGGTTCGTGGGTTCGAGCCCCACGTCGGGCTCTGTGCTGACTGCCAGCTCAGAGCCTGGAGCCTGTTTCAGAGTCTGTGACTCCCTCTCTCTCTGACCCTCCCCTGCTCACGCTGTCTCTCTCTCTCTCCTAGAAATAAATAAAACATTAAAAAAAAAAAAGTAAAACCCTGACAAAGTCAGAACTATTACCTTGCTCCGTTGACTGTGCTGTTTATAAGGCATTTTTGGCTTTCGTGCTTCGATTATTCACATTGTTGGGCAGCATGGCAAACGTGGGACGAGAGTAGGTTGGGTGGGGGGGAGTTCAGTGCTCATGTGTCATCGGGCAAATGGTGTGTTTCATGTGGATCTTGCCTTCTGGGGGCTCAGTCTCAAGGACATCTTTGAGAGGTGAGCTCTTCATTCGTAACCTAAGAAGAAAAGGGGAACCCAAGGAGAGAGAGCCCAAACCCAGAAGAAAAACGTGAATGACAAAAGAAAGGAACATTTCCCACCACCCCCCCGGTCCATCCAAGTGGCATCTGGACCTGCACATGGCCTGTTTTCTGGGGACCCAACGCCTCACTCAAGCCCCCTCTCCACCGCTGGTCGCTGGTCGCTACACAGCTGCGTCCACTAGCTCGGCAATCGTGGGTTCGGATTTTCATTTGTCCAGAAAATGTGTCCATCGTGGTTTTAAGCTGTCTGTGAACGACGCCTCTGGGCAGCTGGTTTTGTGGGGGAGCTGGGGCCAGGCACAAACAGATGGTCCCCAAGGATGACGCTGTGTGGTCTGGCTCTTGCCTGGTGGGCACAGTGGCAGGTGTGGTCACAGGACTGAAATCTCTTCCAAGATGAAGATGTCCCTGTTGTTTGCAGACGCTTACCTCAGTTACCCCGGAATCTGTAGCCGGACACAAACAGAGCTCAGACAGTGAAACTGGACACAAACAGGGCTCAGTCAATGCAGGATAACAGGGCGGGTGAGTTTTCCACCCCAGGAAGTGCAGCGTTGTTCCGTGAGGCACCAGGTTCCCGTGTTCTGGGCGTGAGGTCAGGTGAGTTATCCCAGAGCACTTGAGAATCGCATTGGTACCTGCGTCAGCTCTGTGTGCCATCGTTTCTGGCCACAGACCCGAACGACACGGTTTGTGGCAGGTGGCCACCTAGGCGGACCTGGCTGGAGGCTCGCGTGCCCAGGCTGCCCATGCACGTGCCCTAACTGCGTGTTTCCTTTCCTCAGGGAGGAAGAGACAGCCGTTCTGGATCACCCATGGCTAGGCGCTGATGTCCTGCCTTGTCACAGAATCCCGTCCTCAGCTTCTTAATATAACTGCCTTAAGATTTTAATACCATTCACATAAATTACCTACTCGTAGCAAACTCCCCTTGCCTAATGCCCGTTGAGTTGTACACACAGTAGGGGCAGGCACGCCTCACCCTACTGGCAATTCCTGGCCATCAGCTAAATGAGAAAATGCAGACAGAAAATGAAGCGGTTATTCTGAGTTTGAAGACAAATGCCCCGGACTCTCACCCCACCGCACTGTGGGGCAGATGCTCGGCACCTCCACATTCACCCTCCAGCCTCCGACTCGCTTTGCTGACTCGGTATCTCTTGGCTTCCCGGGCACTGCCGTGGCCACGCGGCTGCGGAGGCAGAGACACGTGCGGGGCAGTGAGGACTGTGGATCCGAGCTTCCTTTGGTTTCTTCCCCTGCCCTGCTCACCTCCTAACACACACTCACCCCCCCTCCGGGATTAGGCGGTCGGGAGCGGCACAGGCGGCTTCGGTATGTGAAGTGCGGGCGGGCAGCTGTGAAGAGGCCCACGTGGTGGGCGCAGAGGGGGCGCCTGCGGGGGCGGCTGCCCAGCTGGCGGGATCCAGGCGTGGTGGAGAGGGCGCAGGCAGGCAACCCTGGGCTGGGCTATGGCCCCTACAGGAAACAGGACCTTCTTGGAAACTGGGTGACGACGCGGCTGGGGCCAGAGCAGCCCCTGCAGACAACCTGTTTCCCCCCAGAGCCCAGCAGGAGGGTCTGAGCGGGACTGGAGGAGTTTCCGGGTGGCCTCACGGCGTCACCCTGGTCACTGTGGGAGGTGGCCGGCCGTAGGCTTCCCACGGTGCGGCACGTTGCACACTAACCCTGGGTGGACGGGCCACGCCCCGTCTGCCTGCACCTGAGACACAGATTTGCATAGTTGATGGGCTTCGGAGGGACCCCGAGCCGCTGACCTGGACGTGTGAGCGGAGACGGGGCTCCTCTGAGCTGTGTCTCTTCTAACGCGAGCTGACCTTTCCCACACTCCCCTCCTAACATACTGACCCGCCTTTTGATTTTAGCGTATCTCTTACAGGCCTTCCAAAGAACCCCACACCGGCGCCCCCGCCCCCTTAGAACCCAGATGAGGCGTAGTGAGCGTAATCCTGTCCTAATTCCTGCCTGGTGTGAGTTTAATGTAGTGTCTATTAATACCTAGCCTCAATGATGAGAGGGTTGGGGGGGGTGGGGGGGATAGAAAAAGGAACACAATTCCACAAAGAAAACCTCCAAATTGCTCGACACACACACACACACTCAACATCTTAAGCCAATTGCTGACTGATCTCTCTTCGTGGTTGCGCACCCCAGCAGTGTGCGCTGTAATGGGGGGGTTCTCGTGGGAAGTACACACTGTTCTTGAATATTGAAATAATAAACTTTTAATGATATTCGTGCACGTGTCTTATTTCGTCTTTATACTGGCTTGTGGGCCATGAACCCAAATAAAGCAAAAGTCGTGTCTCAGAAGCAACGTGGGTGAGTGCTTCCCAAACAAAGGCCGCGCTGCAGATCAGTGCACTGGTGCCGCATGGCTTTCCCGCTAAGAAAGAGGGATAGAGGGGCGCCTGGGTGGCTTAGTCGGTTAAGCGTCAGACTTTCGCTTAGGTCATGATCTCGCGGTTCGTGGGTTTGGGCCCCGCGTCGGGCCCTGTGCTGACTGCCAGCTCAGAGCCTGGAGCTTGTTTCAGTCTGTGACTCCCTCTCTCTCTGACCCTCCCCTGCTCACGCTGTCTCTCTCTCTCCTAGAAATAAATGAAACATTAAAAAAAAAAAAGAAAGAAGGATAGAGGCCATGCTTAGGGCCCTGGTTCACCCACTCACAAGGCCAAGAGTTTTCACTTTATCTCTAAACAGCCTGTTGAGGTATGTTTACACTTTATTGTTTTACCAGAGTAACACCTATTCATGTGAGCTGGAGAGACTCTGGAGAATGATTTTCGCCACACAGAGACCTGGTCAGCACTAAGGGATTTGGGGAATGTCGTGTGTAGTTGCTGTGGATTTTACAGGATTCTGTTTCCAGAAGAGAAACCAACATTTTTGTTTGGTTTTATTTTGCTTTCGACTAAAGCACCAGCTCCCCAGTGCCTCAGCCCTGAGACCCTGTGTGAGCCTGTGGGTGAGCGAGGGAAGCCCCCCACTCTGGGATGCTTGTGGGAGCCCTTCTCCAGGGGGCCCCAGCCCCGGCATCACGCGAACCCCCCAAGAACGATGGGGGAAGCTGCCCCGCTTGGCTGGGCCACCGTCCTACCCCCTCCCTGCGCCCTGCACCCAAACCTTCGGACTGAGAAATTGGGAAAGTCATGCACAGATATGTTTTTAAAATACTGTTCTTTTGGGGGTTCTTAAGGACATGCCTTACAGCTTTTTAAAACTAAAAAAGTATAATGGGGCATCGTGTGGCTCAGTTGGTTAAGCATTTGACTCACGGTTCAAGAGTTCAAGCCCGCATCGGGCCATGCTGACAGTACTGAGCCCACTTGGGATTCTGTCTCCCTCTCTCTGCCCCCACACCCCACCCCGCCCTCTCGCTCTCTCTCAAAATAAATAAATAACTTAAACACACACACAACAAGAATACAGCACCATGTCTGTGATGTTCCGACCAAAGACGCGTCATGAAGAAACGCTGGGGGAGAAATTGGGAGAGTGCCTGCTGTGTGACCCTGGTTTTCGAAATGTCACAGTAACGGGAGCCACGGCCAGAGGGGGTGCGGTTCCGACCTGCAGGTCAGGGTCCGCGGACCACAGCCGCCAGGAGCCCAAGTTGTAGCAGTGAGTCGTACTATCCTCGGGCGGCACTCACGTGGGCTCCCCGTGGAGGAGCGACCAGACAGACTTTCCGTGCTCTTCTAACTTTATGTGTTTGAAACCACTTCGAAAATGCAGGGCTACACAGAAGGAAAGAGACTGTGGGTCATCAAACCTGAGAAAGAGCACCCCGTGGGAAGCAGGAAAAGGGCACAGTGACGAGGCCTGGGGCAGATGGCCAGCTGTTGTCCCACTTGGCACAGGGCCACCAAGAAGCTGGCTGACATCACACCAAGATGGGCCGTCTTCCCACAGAGCACGGTCACCACGGTAACCACAATTATGCTTACTTGGTTCTGACACGAGAGTGGTGGTAGAGGACTGCACGTCTGGATTGATCCAGAATAATTAAACCAGGGAAATGTGTTTATTGTAGAAAGTGTGAAGCAGTGTGTGTGGGTGTAGATGGTCGTCATTTTTCACTTTTTCCTGAGAGACTAAAATATTCGCTACTTCCAAGGTACCACCTAACGATACGCCCCCTTGGTGATGGGAACAGCACTGCAGGTGGCATGGTGTACATCAGCCACTGACATCTGTAATAAAAATCCCCGAGAGGGAGCTGAGCCAGGGCCACCTCGCGGCCTCCCCAGTGAACTGACGACATATGGCTGGCGGCCGCGAAGCCCCTGAACTTCTCCCCGACCCGCCGGCTCACAGGACACGTTTCCTGGGCGCCGGCGGAGGGCTCCTGGGTCAGAGATAAAGGGGGTGATCAGTCACAGCACCGGGGAAAGCACCGCATCAGCCTCTGTGTGGATGTCCCCAGGCCTGACGCCCACAGGGCGACCCACAGTGGGCCGGGCGATGCCCCCAGGGCTCGGGTCCTGGGAAGCAGGCAGCAAGCTGGCCTGACCTTCCCTCAGAGGTCATGTCTTGGTTAGACTGGTTAGGAAAAGAGCATCACTATGCTCTGGAGGAAGTCTCCAGAGCCCGTGTCCCCCACCAACAGCCTTGGAAAGGTCCCGGATCAAAGGCAGAGAGTGCTTGGTGCGGAGACGCAGGATCGAGACACCCGGGGCGCGGCCTCCCACGCCTGACGGCTCATTAACTGAGAACAGAAACAGAAGGAGGGGATTGAATCATCTAACTTTATAGGTGAGGGGACAGGCCGAGCGAAGTTACCAGAGGGCCCTGAGACAGGGTCAGCCGTCAGCCCCAGGGCTGGTCTGACCCGAGGTCCCAAGTCACCCGCCCCCGGCTCTGCTGATGCGCAGGAAGCTTTGTGAACTCGTGCTTTGCGTCTGGACGCGAAGGCTCTTACATCGTCAGAGAGCCAAGCGTGCCGGGGAAGCGCACTTGGAAAAGCGTTTTGAACAGTGGAGGCACCACCATGAGAGAACAGATCTTCCAGGATCTGGGAATTTCCCCAAAAAGTCCCTTCCCCACCCATTATATTTTTTAAGAACTGTTAGAGCAGTATTCTTCCCACGAACAAGAATCGTCAATTTCTCACCATCCCCTCTGAGAAAAGTCCAGGCAAGAAAACCCAAATCATTTTAAGTAGTTCAGTCCAACAATGTATGGAGCCTCCACTCTGTGCTAGGAAGAAGGTGCAGAGGAGACAAGGTGTCCTTAATTTGTCGTCTCAATGGGACAGTGAGTCTATAAACCTCGAACTTCCAAAAGTTTGGAAATATATCTTTGTTTCTTTAAAGTTTATTTATTTTGAGATCAACGGAGACAGCTGAGCAGGAGAGAGAGGCAGAGAGAATCCCAACCAGGGGCTCAAATTCATGAAACCGTGAGATCACAACCTGAGCCAAAACCAGGGTCAGACACTTAGCCAACTGAGCCAGCCAGGCGCCCCTGGAAACACGTTTCAAGAGGGTTAGGGGCTATCACATGAGGATGTCCGCCATCCCACACCTCTCACGAACAGACACACTGATACTGTGATGGCATTTGATTTCCTTGTTGAGTCACCCCCATTGTGAGAGAAAATGAACACTTACCCTCAAGGATAGAAAATAAGACACGCTCACACTCTTCATACCCCATGGATCTCAACTTCTTGCAAATCCAGCATCACGGTGCTGGGTTAACCCTTGCTGAAAATGTCACCTACAGAAGCCACCCATCTCTAAAACAGTTATAACTCACCCCAAACCCAAAAAAGTAAATATACAGGAGCTTTCAGATAATACAAAAACTATTTTTATTATTCTTAAAGCCAGCAGAGTGACTTTTGGCATAACTATCCATTTCTAATACAAAATTGGATTAAATATCATCCAATGTATAAATAGACCATGAAACAGTTTCGAAGTTTAAAAAAAATTTCTTCTGTAAATTAAAAAAAAAGGAATTGTAGAAATTGTCTTTATTGGTGAATCAAGAACAAATCATGGTGTCGTTGTAGGATTTGTCAAAGAGATTACAAATCTTGATTTAATACAAAAGTCTTCATGCTGTAAAGATTACACATAAAAAAGATTAAATAAAATCTTTTATGGTTGCTGCCTGTTGTTGCTGCCACTTAATCTTATTATTATTTTTAGTGCTGTAAATAGTTTATTCATCATCCATGAGAACCTTCATAGCCCCTCTAAGGGCGGGGGTGTGAGAGGGAGCGCGAGCACGTGTGTGTGCGCACGCACACCTAAGGAAGGAGAGTCCATTCAGACTGGGTCAACAGTGACAAAGGCCACCTGCCTTACAAACCTAACCAAGGCAATGTCTTTACTAGACACATAGATAAGGACGGCTTCTCACCTTACAAAACGTCTGCCTGCCCCGCTTTTTATGTGAATATGCAACTAGGTTTTCAAATGCTAATTTTCATTAGGATAAGGTAAAGGTCCAGAGGCCCCGAACATGAACATCTTGGAAATTCTGTTCTAAAAACCAAAACCCTATGTTGCATGAATAGAGGTTAAGTGGCAAAAAGAAATCTAGATTACTACAAATTGCCAGTTATATAATTTCATCTCTGCCTCACTTTATATATTAGATTTGAGAAAAAGGATATAGATTAGCAATGACCAACCCTTGGATTATTTTCTTTTTGTGGTGGTGGTAGGGGCACAATGATGATTTTGAAATAAACTTCTGGGGGTAAAAACAGGCAAAAAAGCAGGCATGAGAGGTCTTTAAAAAGAATAGCCCGAAAGCAGTCCTACGTACCTTATGTATCTTCTTTAAAAGGTGTCACTTACGTAAATCTGAGTGATCGCTTAATGTCAAAAGTGTGCCCCTTGATGAGTTACAGATATTTCTCTGCAGAGAAGAACAGAAACCCACTCACACGCCTAAGAAACGCTCGTACCTGTACCGAGGCGAGCACAGAACTGCCCCTCGGGAGTTCAGAGGAAGAGGAGAAAGGAGACCACCGGGTATAATCGTGAGGCTCAGGTTCACCTTTCCGTACAAGCAAGTGGGCAGGGGACGCAAGATATTGAACGAAGGCTCCTGCGCGTTAAACCCTCACTTGCATGGAACAGAAACCCGATGGGGAGATGCGAGTTCCTCGTCAGAACCGACAGTCCCGTCCCATCGGCACCGCGGCGTTGGGGGGCATGCGCTGGACCGCCAGGCAGGCAGCATCTCCCCTGGTCCCTTGTGGGGTCTGTCCCCC